CTCTTACAGTTGGTATGGCTACTCCCACCTTTTCATGTTCTCTGTATGTATAAATATCTTCTTTCTGTGTGTTCCATTCTATGCATCCGATGAAATAGGCTGTAGCCCACAAAAGCTTATGCTCAAATAAATTCATTGGTGTCTAAGGTGCCACAGTACTCCTGAATCTTTAATGTAAATCTCTTCTAACTTCTAGTTCAGGCATTTGTGTTAACAAAAATGAACACTTTAAACACCCAAACTAAATATCTTTCCATCAGTGGCTTACATTTAACTTCTGTGGTACTTAAAGCTCATCTACCCCCTTTTTCCTGAAACTGGAAAAACAGTAGAACTGGCCTGAGTTTCTAATACACAAGGAAACTTTCTGGAAACTTGTATTTTATGTTGCCTTTATGACATAAAGAAACAAAGGATATAAACCCCATTTTCCTCTGTATTACATATTTAACGTAAGTTTATTTTCATATCCTGTTGGCAGCAGTGGGAAAACTAAGAAGGAAACTGAGTTAACTTTTTTTTTTCTCTAATTGCAGGAGTCAGAAATACCGTCGGAATTGACTAATGAGGGGTACTGCGACTACAACAGTAGGCCAAATGAGAACTCTTATTGCTATCAGCTGCTGCAAGAACTAAATGAACAGAGGAAGAAAGGCATTCTTTGTGATGTCAATATTGTGGTGAGTGGGAGGGTCTTCAGAGCTCATAAGAACATCCTGGTTGCCGGCAGCCGTTTCTTTAAGACTCTATACTGCTTTACAAACAAAGAAAGCCGTAACCAAACCACTGTTACCTATTTAGATGTTGTTGCTGTTCAAGGTTTTTCTGTCATATTGGACTTCTTATATTCCGGTAACCTTGTCCTTACAAGCCAAAATGCCATTGAAGTGATGTCAGTGGCCAGCTATCTTCAAATGACTGAGGTTGTCCAGTCCTGTCGCAATTTCATTAAAGATGCCTTAAATATAAGCATTAAATCAGAAGCTCCAGAGGCTGTAGTAGTGGATTATAACAGAAGATCTGTTAGTCGGGATGGTCTGCCTTCATCAAGGGATCAGAAAGTTGCCAGTTTCTGGGCAACACGGAATCTTACTAACTTGGCAAGCAGTATAAAAACTGAAAATGATGGTTACTGTATTGATGAGGGCCAAATAGAAAACTATCAAATGAATGACTGTAGTTGGGTCCAGGACAGCTCACCTGAAATGGCTGAAAATGAATCTCAAGGAGAAGGAAAAGTGTTTGTGTGGAATGACATGGCCTCACAGGGACAATCAGTTCAAGAACCAGGAAAAGCAAGAAGGAAAAACCAAACTACAAAGAGATTTATTTATAATATACCACCTAATAATGAAGAGAATTTAGAAGATTGCTCAGTGATGCAGCCGTCAGTCCCATATCCAGAAGATTTGCAGTTTATTAAGGAAGAACCAGGTAAATTATTTCACTAATATATTGGATTATCCAAGTGTTACTGTTGTATCCATTCTAGGATAACCTCACTTCTATAAACATGTATTAGCTAAGATCCTGCAACAAGTAGTAAATCCGTAGACAAAATGAATTGCAAATATCTGACAATGTTGCAGTGATTCTTATCTAATGTAAACATGCTTACTCTGTTTCGATTAGTAAAAAAAAAAAAGGCTGAATGTCTGTTTCGTGTGCAGATGTACACTATTGCCAAAACTGTATTAAAACTTACAGTTCACATTGGTGAATACCTACTTCCTATAATCCTCAAGAGCCAGTTATCAAATAAACCAAACAAGGTAACATCAACTGGTGAAAACGTTCAAAAAAAATTTATTTTGCTTATATAAATGTTTAATTCTCTTGGCTAGCACATTTCAACTATCCACACCATGTGTAACTTAATCTGTACTATGCTTTAAAATCCGCAGTTGGCTTTTAACTTGAAAATAACTGAGTTTAATTGCCTGGCCAGATGCTCTCCTGTGGTGGGAAGGTTGATGTCTGTAAATTTGCGTCTGCTAGTGACTTATCTTTTGAATGATCATCCCTTTGTTCAGTGTATAGAGAAGCTGCATTTTGACTTCACACCAGTGGTGTTCAACATATGGCCCTTGAAGAGATGTCTCACTTTTATTGTGAATTGAAAGTGTTCCTTGAGCCACACTTGCAGTGTGGGTGGTGTGGTGTGCCAGTCCCATTGGTATGGGCTGGTGTTGGATGGGATCACCTCCAGCTGTGTGCCATTTCTCAGGAGTAGTTGTAATGTGAGCCAGGAGTGCTCTGAACAGCTCCTTAATAGTTCCCCAGCTGGCTGCCTGCTGTATTACATGAGGGAGGAGAGTTGCTTTGGATGCTCTGTTGTCTGTTTCCTTGTTGAGCTGCAGGTGCTTCATGGTGAACAGGATAGAAACTTGACTGATCCTGCCTAAATTTAAGGGATTGACTTGCAAAAGAGGGCTTCTCCTTCCTCATGCAGCCAGATAGGGCAGCCTAAGAAAAGGGTAAAGAAGCTGAGAATCAGTGAGTTATAGGTCTCCCAATTGTCTGTCTGTCCAGCCCATGGCAGCTCCAATTTGTTTCAGCTAGTAATGGTCCCTAAGCAACCATATGCCAACTGGGGATAGCTGGAGCACAGCATGCTCAAACTATTCCTCTCCTTGCTCCAACCTATCCTCTGTTCAGGGCACTGCACTGGGGTGTGTAGAAGCCAGTTATGCTGGATCTGTGCTGTTATGGACTGTCCCCTTATTAGGATACCCACAAATGCCCTGGTGTGGACGACTTCCATTCCCCTTGTATTGCCGGAATGAGGGAGAACAGCAACATTGCTTGATTAATATTAGGGAATTCAACAAGCACATTTTTATTCCCAATTCTCAGATCCTGCTGAGTCTGCTTTGTAGTGTCACCTTCAGGTAGACCATGCTTACTGACTTCGCTGAGAATGGACTCTTGTGTCAAAATTCCCAGTAGTAACCTATAAAGAGTTGGCTAAGAGCGATTTTTCCAGAAAGAGCAGTAGAACCCATGCTACTGAAGAAAGTATGAGTGTGTTTTATTAAAAGTATTTCCTGGCATAAGTTTTCAGTATCTTTCATCCCATTTTTGTGTGTATATACGAATACATATTTTGTTTGCTTTATCAACTGCTGCTGCACAACGAGCAGCCTTTTTTTTTATTTCAGCTGCCCACAAGGATGTCTGTCCTTTTTCCTCTCTTCACCTGGCCCACCCTGCCCTGAGTAGTTAGTTTGAGATTTCAAATTATTCCACAAATGTGAGGTAATGTGCATTGGAAAAACATTGAACTTGATCTGCCATTATACTACTTACTTATTCAGCCCTTCTAAGTCCCTCTAAAGCCTTCACTAGTCTTAACTGCACTAACCAAAATAACTTAGTCATCTTTAAATGTTTCTACCTCATTGTTCTCCCCTCCTTTAGATAATCAATAAATATTTTAAACAATACCAGTCTTAAGACGTCCCAAGGTTGAATATTGCAATTAACCTCTTGCCATGTTGAAAACAAACCATCTACTTATCCTATTTGTTTTTCTCCCAGCTAGTTTTCAGTTCATTTTAGCACTTTGCTCCTTACCCCAATGAGTGCTTAACTTCCTGTAATAGCCTTTTATGGGAAATTTGATAAATACTAGTTTTTAGGAAAGTCCACATAAACTTCAGCTGTTTCTCCTTTGAACTGGTCAAAGAAATAGTGGATAAAGCATTAATTAATCCAGGGTGATTAAGCCTGTAGGACAGGCATAGCCACTTGTGGCCCTTAAGGGCAACTGTTAACAATATACCCGACCCTTGCTAAAATGTGGGATTTGGGATCCATGCACAGTACTGCGTTAACGCAGGGACCACGTTAAAACGAATTGCAATTAAAGTAATTAAATTTGGGATCCATGGCCGCAACCTCGTTATATGGTAATTCTAGCGGGAGTTGGGTGTATTTGTACTTGATTGTGAGTTGAAAATGTTCCCTGAGCTTCACCCCCACTCTCTAAAACGGAAGTGGTTTTGAATTAGCTTTGTTACAAGGAGGAAGAAAGGAGCACAACTTCCCCCAGCGGCCACTGCATGGTATGAGCCAAGAGTGCTCTAAGCAGCTGCTGTCCCGTCTCTTCTGGGCAGTTTCCCTGGTGGCTGTGTGCTCTGTTGTAGTGGAGGGACCAGAGTGCCTGTGGTTTTCCTTTACTTGATTCCCTGCTCAGGCCTGTGGGAGCCTAGGAGAGTGCCCACAGAGACACCTAGGATAGCTCAGAAGAGGAAAGGAGGTAGAGCAGAGAATCATCAACCAGTTGTAGTTCCGTCATCCAGCTTTAAACAGCCAAGGGGCTGCTCTAACTTGTACCAGCTGCAGTGGTCCCATGGATGTCATATCTTAGCTGAAAATAACTGCAGTGTAATGCACTTAAAATACTTTTTCCTTGCTCTTAACTTTCCACATGCTGGCACTACTGCCACATCTCCTCTGGGGATGTACCCAGCAGGGAACTTTAGGGTGACTTCTGTTCCCTTTGTGCTGCTTGAGTGGCACGGGACAGTTTGGTCCAAAGCATTATGGGAGGCAGTTCATGGCCAAGCTCCCATATTAAGAGCTGACATTTCAAAGTGCTCTAAACTCCATATGCATACTCAGTTGTCTTGAAAAGTGGTATGCCTCATTGGGGCACAAAGTAGGCTTCAGTGGTGCAAATTTGGGATCATTTGATCCCAGCCCAGAGAGAGAGAGTTCTCAGGAAAAAAGGGCTGGTGAATAGACTTGAACTGTTTTAACTTGTGTGCACGCTTCTGATTTAAACTGACACTGCTCTGCACCAAATAGAGCTACCTGCTCCGATTCGACCTGAGCTAGTGTGCAGCAACTGAGTTCTAAGTTGGGAGAGCAATATTTAAAAAGTTGGATTTGATCTCACTCAGTAAACGGGTACATATAGGGAATCTGCACCAGAGAAAATGACTTTTGTGAAGAAAACACTCCACTGCTTACACTTCTCCCTGGGGAGAATTAGTGAACAAACATCATGATGATAGTCATGTTGCTTAGTGCACTACTGAAAGGTACTCAGATACTGTGCTAATGAGCCTGGTATAAAAACTTATATAAAATAGTGTGCTCTGGCAGCCTTTATGCTCGCTGGCCCTAGAGCTGATATAGTACATAACGGTTTTGGGAGGAAAGGTAGCATGGATGACCCATAACCTCATGCACAATCCATTGATCTGATTGTATCAAAGGAGTAGATGAAAGTATCTTCTGCTTAGGAAATCCATCAGCTATACCTTGTTTAAGAGAGCCTGGTGGTGAACGTTGTCATGACCAGAGGCAACATTGGCCAGCCACACCTCTGACTTCATATGCTAGTATATTGTCAGTCAAAAGCAGTGGCGGATTTAGAGTTAGTGGGGCCCTGTGCGCAGCTTCATTTTTGGGGGCCCTCCTCGGGACCCAGCCAAGAAAAAGCATTTTCCCCCCCCCCCCCCCCCCGTTTTTCATTTTTTTTCTTCCATCCTCCTTCTATATTATAAGTAATAGAACGTAAATGAAAATAGTGAGGTACTTTGGTTGGGGTTGGGGTGCAGGGGGCAGGCTATGTGAGGAAGTTTGGATGCGGGCTCTGGGCTGGGATGGGGTTGGGGTGAGGAGTGCAGGCTCTCGGAGGAAGTTTGAGTGCAGGGTGCAGCCTTGGGTTTGGGGTGTGGGAGGGGGCAGGGGGGGGTTGTACTTCGGGTGGCGTGGCTCCCAAAGTGACCAGCGCACACACCCCTATGGCAGCGGCTCGGGGGCAGAGGATCTCTGCATGCTGCTGCCCACAGGTGCTGCCTCTCCCGCAGCTCCCATTGGCTGCAGCTCCTGGCCAATGGGAGCTGTAGAGTCGGCGCTGGGGGCAGGGGCAGCGCCTGGAGACACAGGCCCCCTCCGCCCCAGGGGCCACATGGATATGCCAGCTGCTTCTGGGAGTGGTGCAGAAGGAGGGGGGCAGGGAGCTGCCTCAGTGTTAGCCCACGCCACTCCCAGAGGCGTCTGGCTGCTGGCACGTCTCTGCGTGCCCATTGAGGGGAGGGGGGCAGCGGGTCTCTGTGAGCTGCCCGGGGGGAGCAGTACACAGAGCCGCCTCCCCCCCTCCAGGGGCGTGCAGAGACATGCCAGCAGCCGGACGCCTCTGGGAGTGGCGTGGGGCCACCGGCCACAGTATGCCTGACTGAGCCCTGCTGCGCTGCCAGCCTGGACTCAGGGGCAGATTGTCATATATTTGTCCTGCATTTTGGGTGGTCCAGTTCCACTGCACTGTTTGTTTCATGGTAAATCCACTCTTTGGTATAACCTTTTGGCCACTCCTTATCTGTCACATATGCCTATTCATGGGTAAATACCAATTCAACTGTAGAAGGACACTTTGTGTGGATGATAGTTTCCATAGGGAGCCATGGGTAATTCAACAAGGTAATACATGAGGGTACTGAGGCTGCCAGATGTTGGGCATAGGTATTAGTTTGTTAGTAAATGGTAGCAACAGCAGCTCCTCTCTGGCCGTGATGCTGGAAGACACTCGTGACTGCACTGTTCATAAGACCTTCGTGTAGGGCTCAATAAAAGCATGGCGATTTGCCATGTTATGGGAGATATCATTTTTCTCCCAAAAGAAAAAGGATGGCTTCCCTCAAAGACTAAGAAAATGGAAGCCACTCTTTGTTTCCTTGGGTTTGTTGTCCAGTTATCATTGACCAAAGAGGTTAAATAGTACATCCAGAATCTGGGTGTTTAGCCTTTCTCTTCACACAAG